GGGGAGGGACCAATCTGATAATGGAATTCTTTTTCACGGAAGCCACGACATTCGCCTGTATCGGGTTTACGTGAATTCTCCAATGTCGTTTCCCCGAGAAGATTACGTTCTCGAATACGCTAAATCCACGGATCTTTTATATACCCATTCATTCGAGCAGTCGATCTATGCTGATTTTTGAAAAATATTCGAAAAATTATTTACGCCTCATAAACGAAAAACGGTAAAATAATTTTTAGCCTCGATTAATTGTAACGCGTAAAAGTATGAGCGGGCTGCGGTTATAAAAAACATTTTTTAATCTTTCCATAACAATGCGAATTTTACGTGCGCCAAGTTTCGAGCTTTCAAAGAACCGTGACTATAGCTGAAATAGCCGGGTATACACCACGGCATTCTGAAAAAAAAGCACTGAAAGAAAGTCCGAGCATAGAATTAAAAAATGTAAAGAACATCGCGAAAGAATAAGCCCGACGTTGCTGTTGGTCGAAACGAACGCGTAAAATAACGCGAAGATTTACTTCGTGAAAAGCGACTAGTCGAGTTCGGTACGAGTCATGAATATGAAGTAGCCCGAGAATCTCTGGTCATTCTCGTATGAGATAGGTCACGTGAAAACGAGGATTAAATCGACCCGACGTAAACGGACGCTACGAGGAATACCTGATCACGACGTCAGAGCTGAGGATCGAGGATCGAAGAACAAAATGCAAAAAAATAGTAACAGCAAGTGAAGGGGAGTGAAAGGGGATCGACAAGAATCCCATCCTAGTATCCCTGATCTCACCTGGCAGCCAGGGGTTGATGCTGTACCCGAATAAACGTACCCAACCGGCTCAACAGTTGTCACCGGCTATCAAAGTGAAAGGGACGTTTTAGTATTTCCACAATAATAAAAGTACCACCGGGGTACATTCTAATCTGTACTATTCATGCGACTCAGCCGTACCCGGCGTCGCGACGCTCAATTCCTGCCATACGGAGGTAACGTTCAACGACGGCCTCGTTATGTCGGCTTGTCCCGAAGAAGCTAAAGCCGCGTATTCAATCCTCCGACGTACGTTGGAAAATTATGCGATAAGGGTAAAATAATAATGGCGGCTCCAACTTGCAGGGTAAACAAAGCTTGTTGCCCCTGTGTATTAGGATCCATTTCCGTGTAGTCGTTGCGAGGCTTTACTGAGGTTGTAAAAAAAATGGGAGAGGAACGAAGGGAGAGAGAACAGTCAGAGGCAGGAGCCACGAGATGGAGGTGCAGGTTGAGATGGCTGCTAGGGAAGGCAGGTATCGATTCCAACCCGCGTGGAGAACATCCCCCGGACCTCCTTCATCCCCTGACGAGCCACGCACTCCAGGTCACCGGGTCAAAGCTCACGGTCGTCAGTGGGCTCACTGTTGCTTCATCCAATTCGGCATGGCTGTCTTTGGTCTCGGCATTGGTCCTCTTCGCTTCAGGGTCCTCTGCACGATCACGTGACTGCCGATTGAATTCACCGTGTAGTGGTATTGT